TTCAACCAGTGTAAACAACACACTATAACTACTGAAATTTCAGTGCTAAAAGCTTGAAACCTTACATTCAACTCGGAATGCAAAGGAATAAGAAATAAAATCAATTCTTCTTTACAAATTCATTCATACTGATGATATTTAAATTGAAACTATCTGAAAGTTTGACTAAGTTGTATTCATTGTGTATTTTCTTTTACACCCAGCACTTTATAGTGTACTTTCCCCCAAACTATAGTCCATTAAAAAAAAACAAGCCCTACCACTAGAAAGTTTCCACGTATTATCATCAGTCTTAGCAAAAAATAATAAAGGTTTCACTGCTTCGAGTAAAATATAAAAAAACGAAAATGAATACTAAATCAAGTAAAGAATTAGGAAATTGATTTAAGCGAAAGAATGAAGACAACGATCGTCAAGTGATATCATAATTCCTATAGTCAAATGGTGAAAAGCTGAGGGAAAGTTAGGCAACTACTGGATCCAATCATGCAACCAGTTGAAGATTTTCTGTACTTCCTTCGATCACGAAGTCAATCAGCATGCAGCTGTTTATTTTTCATTCACTCAACTACTATCCTCAACGTCTTTGCTTCTTTTTCAGTGTTTCGCAAAATATAAAGCTTCATTCATTTGAGAAATTTCATCATTACATTACTACAATGACCAAAAGTGAGACGTTTAGCAAATACAAACGACCGACTTGAGTAAAGGCTGAACAATAATCAGAGACTACCAAAACTAGATGACATAGGGAAAATCAGAGATTTGTTTAGGGAAGAAACTGAGTTTCAAGCTGTAAACTCATATTTATATCGCATAAAAGGACATTTATGGGAATCAATAACTTATAAGTTCTTTAGCATGTCATTAAAATAATTAACATGATATCTAGGTGTTTAGGATGGGAATGGATGGACTACATAATTACATAGGATTACTAAGGAAATGAACTGATAGGATAAGGTTTGAAATGACACAAATGCTGTCAAAAGTTAAAATAGTAATAAAGAGGAAACAAAGCGAAGTGGAATGAATTCAGACAGAAAGAAGATTATCAGAACTAAGGGAAGGGAATTATTATAACAAAACGATTTTGAATATACAATTTAGGTTTCCCTTCAGGCTGCGCTTCATTTGAATGTAGGTGATGAAACCTTACACTTTTAAACTGATTAATCTTATCTCAGTAGATAATCTTAGAAAATAATTCACCTACAGCTAAATGATCTGATTCGAGAAGATGTTCACTAGCGTATTGTTGTCGCCTATGATTATGGTAATGTTCATTCAGACATCTCCGAAGAACTTACAATGTACCACGTAATCATATCCTTAGGAACCTATGAAGGACTTCAAGTTTCCTATCAACTTTATCATTACAGCAGACTTTCCATTTCTTTGAGGATGGATATTGGATAAGATATTTGTTCTGACCTAAGGGTTCTCCAATTGCTGAAATTACTGTACTGTCATGCAGACGTCGGTTCAGAGCTATCCAGCCATTGCAATGACTCCTTACCTCTCCTTTCTAATTTAACATCTGAGTGATGGAATTTTCGATTTCACCCTTCTTTACTTGTGAAACAATTTGAACCGTTTGAGGATTTCAACAGACGAAACGCATTTATCACAAACAATAAAATTATCGTCTCTACATCTTGTAAACAAACAAAGACTGGTTTTAGCCTCTTTTAATGAATGTTTTTGATAAAACATTTTTGAATACACGGTTTTGGGGTTTTCGTTCATGTATGCCTAGGGAAATACAGGTGATGGAAAAGTATTCATATAGGGTTTAGATAGTGATACACCTGAATTATTTATCCAAAATCTTTTTTTTATAACAATGGCTTCCCTTTGGCTCTGATAATCTTCACTTTGTATCCCTTTTCTTTATTATCATTGCTATATAATTCAATTTTGACATCACTTTTCACAGTTTAAACCTTTTAGTATCACTTCACTTCTTTACTTATCCTATGTAATTATGTAATCCATCTATTTCCACCCTCTTCACCTAAACATTCATGTTAATTTTTGTATCATATATGAATGGACTGGTCAGAGTAGTCTTGAATATTCACTAATATGCATGAAAAAATGGATAAATTCAGTCACTGAGTCGTGTATTAGAGATCAATAATGGAATGAAATGCGGATGACTTGATCAACAACCTCAAGCAAAATTAGATTAGAAACAGAACTCGCAATAATATTTCTACCGATCGCTGATGACTGTCTATCGCCATGATAGTGTTTGTTTCTATTTATTGTATTGCATGCACACAGTGCGAATAATTCTGCCGACTACGCATTTCCGATTTCTGTGCCCTGTGAGTGATCCTAAGGACGATAAATCAGGTGTCAATAATAAATACCCAGCTCCTACTGCCTGACATTTTCACAAGCTGATGTAATCCTATGCACACCTCACCATCCAGGTATTCATGATAAGAAATCTAAAATGACATCTGCTTATAATAGATTCAGGACCAAGAACAATAATAACATTGTGATTTTAATGTGGATACATTCATTTACGAAGCACTCGTCGTTGCTGAAATCATATGAATCTGATGAGATTTGATATGCATAAACCGTCTGAAGAAGACCTCTCAGAATTCGTACGCTTCTTCAGTGTAGTGTGGTCATTATCTCTTCCAACACTTTACAATGCTCAGTCAGTCTCACTTTATGGGAAACTTCACTATGACATCAAGCAAGTTCCACTCTTATGATTCACACTGGAAGTGTTGGGTCTGTAATACCCAAAAACACTTTACTGTTACACTGTTAGGACGTACTCGTAATGCCTACTAGTAGTTTGGTTACATGTATCACTTGTCATAAGTTACTAGTTATTGGTATCATTGACACTACTTCAATATCAGACAGTAGTCGGTCGTCTTGTAAATACTGCCATTTCTCAGCAGTGAATATGGTTCATTCTCATTGTGATTCAAAGCTCCTAAATTGTTGAATGTTCAAATATTGCTTTGCACTTATTCATTGAATCAGTCTGTGTTAACAGAACTGATTGTACACTGTTCATATTGTGGTGATCCTGTCATTCTGAGACGCCAACAACCTAATAACTCAACTTCTCTACTGAAGAATGTATGTGCATACAACATTCACCACCTTGCTTTATCTGCATGTTATCCATTTAACGGTGAAGTCGGGGCCTAGATGCTGAACACTAAAAGACTGTTCACTTTTCAGTGTACTGTGAAAACAGAAAGGGGTTCATTACTCAAACAAATGCTTAACCTTTCCAAATGGTGAAGATGTTAGTGACTAAGGTGGCTGAATTCAGTGCTTAGATAATGGTAAGTGGGAATTAAAAACAACTAAACAAAATAAACATTTGCTTGAATTATCTGCTGTAGGGCTAATAAAGTTTATTTTGCATCCAGCAGGTGACTGCAACAAACTTTTTTATAATTTGAAGTGTTCTGGAAGTCACTACTTTAGTGGTGGTCAAGTTTCTGTCGTTGAATAAAATTTACAAACCGTACGAACCTTTTTGGAAAAAATCCACAAAGATTGGGTAAAATCCCCTAATAAGCGCACTGGCTTATATCTAACTTCTTCAGCCAGACCCTGAAGTTCCCCTCGTTCACTGAAGGCGTGTGAATTCAGTGAAAACGAATCCAGTAGGTATTTCCATTTATAATCTTGATGATTCCATAACTGGTCGTAATTTCTTTAAAAGTTTGGAATGAATACTGATGATTTCATCGAAAATTCGAAGCTGAAATGAATCAGGAGATGTGAGAGTCTTGTAAGGAAACTCCGAGTACATTTCTAGGAAACCTCCTGAAAAGTAGCGGTGCCTGGTAATTTGCATTAATGTTTTATTTCGATATCAATTGTCGTCTGTTTCTATTCAAACTATTCTGCATAAATAATACAAATAATTATATCATTACGAGCATCTGCTTCCTATCCTCTTGGCCTTGTTCTATCGTTTCCTGATATTCAGACACTCCGGATTAAAATTAGAAATAAATGTTAGCTGTTCCTGTTCCACCGCCTTTTCTACACTCATAGATTCATTAACGTTGCACTTGTATGTGTAGTAGCCCTGAGTGTGCTTATTTCAAAAGCCTTTTTAGCCGTCATTGTGTATGAATCTATCTTTTGGTCTAGTTTAATGACGCTCCTCTCATATCACTTCAAGGCGAGTCAGAAAGTTCATCGTTAGATCACCTGTATTCCAAGAAACTTTTGCATTGTGTACAGCCTATGGGTATCACAGCTTCCGTCTCCCCCAACAAACACAAGAATTCCGCTAACAGGAGGGAGAAAATGTTCAGGGTCGTGCAGGACACATAAATGTGTCTGATTCTATGAAAAAACGTGAAAGTGTTTTCATGATTTAAGAAATTTAAGCATAAACTCTTCTCAAATTACACTTCATCCTTAGGGTTGTTCGTAGATTTACCAGAATTTGTTTGCAAAAAGGATGGCTCTCAGATATTTCACTTTCCTTGAATAATGGGAATATGCGTAATGTGGTCATTCAGTATCACAGTGAAGGCGGATGTTGCGGACAGTGGAGACTCAACCACTTCTATTTCCTAACGAAGTGCTATAATGGTTAAAAACGTCAAAGTAAGCGATAAAGGGAATCAAGACGCACCTTGAATACACTCAGCTACTGCCAGCGTGAATTTCCGGTAGCAGTGGTGTTTATTTTTACTGTTTGCTATCCTCATGCCCAACCTTCCCTCCTTACCTGTCTTACTGATGGCTTAGCGAGGTAAGGGACAACGTCGGTCAAGGAGTGAATGCCGAACGACATGCGTGGTTGGCGAGCAGACTACCACTGCACCACCAAAGCACAGCTATTTTATTAGACGGTACGAATAGGGACTTTTTATCTCCAAGGCTACATAATAATCTGGCTACCTGCTCTTTTTGAGTATTAGGATTTTGAAGTCATTTTTACAAAATATTTGTCATAAAAAGCCTGTACGAGCACGAGCAAGACTTACCAACATCAAATACTTTGAAATCCAAGTCTTTAAAACGGAAGTTCGTTTCCACTATTCCTGTCGTTTTAACTCTTGATCTCAAGACATCCTGCTCAGTTGGTAGGTAATCGGGAGCTGACATTCTATCTAAGGAATCGAGATAATAACCAGCTGAATCATTAAGTTGATATTCCTTAGAGCGTATGAAGCATTTCTGCACACTTGCGTTGGTCCAAAGTGACCGTAAGAGCTTTGATAAGTCATCGGGAAAATCTCCCTCCTCGACTGTGGCTAGATATCCATTCAAATGTTTTAATTCTTCCGCAGGGTCAAAGTCTTCAGCCGTTATATCCAGCGACTCCATAGCTTTCAAAATTTTGATCATAGACTGGACAGTATTGGCAAAAATTATAGGTTTATATTCTTTCCTTTCATCTTCCTTGTAACCCTCACCATGAATTATTTTCATCTGCTTTAAGACCGTTGATTTTCCACATTCACCGGCCCCAAGAAGTAGAAGTTTGACTTCTTTCATGGACTTTTCTGCATCCTGACGTATTTGCTTCTCTATAGCCTTACTCTTATCTTGCTGAACTTTTTCTGGTTCACTCCAGGCGCATCCCATAACTGAATGTTGATATGTTGAGCAGAAATCAAATGCCAATTTTGATAATCCACTTATTGTGATAAAGGATCAGATGCTATCGAGGGAACTTGTTTAGTTCCTAATACATTTATATATGGTTTCTCATAGTTGCAAATGTATCCACCAATTACGTACCTTTTAGTCTTTGTTAAACAATTCCTAGCCATGATATACAAGAAGCCATAGAAGGCCAGATTAAAATTAATGTGAATGAAATATATATTCGGCGAACCAATAAATGTCATGAAATAAGAATTTTGAGACAATGTACTTTTGTTTTAAATAGTCGGGCGACACAGCACATTTTCGAAAGATTGCGCCAAGAGCATGGCTGAACAGGTTGGACTATGACTTTTGCGCTTAACATATTTTTAGAGGGAAAATGCCTTTCAAAAACAAGAGGTGAAGGGAAGAAAGGGTGGCAGGTATTACAAAAGCATTGGGCTTGGATATAAGACCCCCAAAGATGCTATATTCGGAAGCTACATCGACAAGAAGTGCCCTTTCACCGGCAATGTACGTATCCGCGGTAGAATTCTCACAGGAATTGTGCGCAAAATGAAGATGAACCGCACAATTGTTATCAGACGTGATTACTTAAAGTACGTCAAAAAGTACAACCGGTATGAGAAACGTCACAAGAATATGTCAGTGCACCTCTCCCCATGTTTCAGGTAAGTGAGGTATCATAAATAGGCCTATCCTTTAGGGACGTCAACGTAGGAGACATTGTGACAGTTGGTGAATGCAGACCGTTAAGTAAGACGGTTTCGTTCAACGTAATCAAAGTGTCAAAGGCTGCCGGATCTAAATACAAAAAGTCGTTTAATAAGTTTTAATGTCATAAATAAACCTGTGGCTTCGTATACACTGTTCTTAATATCTCATTTGTTTGTTAGTGGTCGGTAAATGGTTCATTCGTAAACGGTCAGAATGCCTAAGCTATACTACTAGGGGTTTTGGTTATACAAGTGTTTGAAGTTAATGTGGTTACTCACAAGCTGTCTCGTTTTCTTCAGCCTGTGTCTCGACAGACAATTGATCGTTTTGTTGACTCCAGTATTTTAGAAGACTTTCATAACATTCAGTGAAGTATTACTAGCAATACTTGACAGGACATGAATAGCGCTACGTTCTTGTTCATCATGTACTCTCTTATCAGTCTCTTTATGAATGTCTTGTTGCATACAGTATATATTTATCCAGCATGGACTGCTGCTTATGGGTATTTCCTGTGCAGCAAAATATTTCGAACTGCCATGATCATATGTATACCAGATACTTGTTGACGCAAATTTTGTTACTCATGATGCGTATTGAAGGTTGCATAACGGGGATCGAAGCGGACGGTCATATTCTTATTACCCTGGTTAGTAGAGAACAATGGAAATTCAAGTGCATGAGAGCTGGTACGACTATTATTTACTTTGTACATGGTATTCGTCAAGCAGCTTTCTGGTACACTGTGATGTCTCCCTATATATGTACTCAGTGCCCTACTCTATCAGCGCATTTTCATTTGTGATTCATAAGTTATATTCGACCACTAGAATGTCTCAAAGTTGTGAAATCTTCGAGTATCATCCAAATATCTACCTTGCACGCTGCAGTGTATGACCGACATCAGTGCTACGTGCCGTCTGTTAAATTAGTTTGAGGTGTAACAGTGGATGGTCTGTCTAGGCGTACGAACGGGTGCATTGGTAAGGCCTTATGTGTTCTATTCCAAATAACTATTCGGTATTCATCCCCCCCCTCCGTGGAATGCTTGGATTTTAAGCGATGATTGCTAGTTTGTAACCACGCCCCCTTTATCTCCAACAAGACAGTTTATTAACGCCGAGTATACGTCTGCAGCCTTGGGTAATGCTTAGAAATTGTATTGGATACAGTATTTTGATTATGTGAGATTATTAACCAAATGTTCCTAAGTGACTACCTACTTTGTGTGTGTGTCTGTGTATCACTGCATGATTATCTGGCAGTCTATGGTCCTAACTACTGGTAGTCCCCTGGGTAAGCAAATTAATTGGAGCGTACTCGAGTCCTTGCATTCGTGTGATGAGGGGGTCCGTGATGATTTAGTAGCTTGGGTGGTCGTACACATTCTTAAGCGTGGGTAGGTCATCCTGTGGCTGGCCGCAGCTAGATTTAAAATAATCTAATCCCTGAGATGTCTCTCCATATGATTTATTACGGGAGCCCATAACCTCTTAAGTCCCTTCAGCAGACTCTTGAGTTGTAACGACTCCCTGGTGCTATGCATGCGAATTAGTGTGCTGGGCAGTCGCTACCTAAACCAGGCTTCTCATTATGCTTCCTACATATCTCGTTTCAACCATGAGGAATTCTCCTTGGAGTTAAAGATGAGAAGAGCGATGGTGTTTTGGACCGATTTGAGTAGTCTCCTTAACTAATTCTCGGCACTTATCAGTTGATACTGCTACCCTGTCTGTGCGTCATGCAGCGTCGGACAAAATGTTGCCATTTTAGTGTGTGTCATAGAGCAGTGACGGTCATATAATCATACACAGAGAACAAGGATGAAAACTGAGCAAATGGTCGCTACCGCCTAAAGGGGCTTGGTTGTGGACGTTTTCTGCTGCTCATGTAATCCAGTTGTGATGAATGTTCATCACATCCTCATCTAGTCTCTTCTTGCCCTACTGAAGTTACGTAACACATTTTTCTATAGAGATTTGTTTGAGTGAAACCCGACATCAGGTTAACGGATGAAACGTGTAAGTCTCCATATCTAATGATATGATCATAGCCCAGGTACCCTATCTTCATGATCGTATAGAGCAGTTTCCGGTTGTATTCTGCTCTGCATGCAGATGGTCGATTGATGTTACCCAAAAGACGCGATGTGAACGACTTTGAAGTAGCATGATATCGAGTCTAAGAGAATTATGAGAGGCTGGTCAGCTAGTCGAATCTATCAGAGGTTTCTTTACGTAAGTGGAAACTTTGTCCTCTTCATTGTAATCACTGTTCTGTATAAAAAAGAACATATCGCTTATACCGACTTCGCTGTCGGTAACAATAAGGTCACTAATGTTTCAGTCAGTACTACTAGATTGAAATTGAGGTAGAAATGTAGGTTCCTGATATCAGACAGTTTACCTTATCAGCTCTATTACGTCACCACACATCAGAACAGTGCTGTAGAGAGAGTTGGTAATCATAGCCAAACTTTTCTTTTCACAATTGAATTTCTTTGACGATTAAGTTGTTTATACAAATCACTTCGAAAAGATATCACTCCTTTGTTAGGTGGAAGGAGATAGCTGGAAAGCGACCATTTACCTGGATTTCGTGCTTCTCGGTACTTGTCAACAGGGAACTGATGCCTCATTAAAATTTCAGTCCCCACTGTATTGCTAATTTATGTTCAAAAAGATGAAACGTAGGTGCAGTTTTTTGGCTGACAGACCTGCCCATTAAGAGTGGAAGACATGAAAAGACTAGCTGTCTTTGATCATATGACTGCGTTTTATCTCCCGTGTGAAGTGGCACAATAAGGTGAGCAATATTGAGGTTAGACGTCGAGTGCTAGGTAAACAGGGGTGGCACAGTGGTTAGGACTCTCGCCGACCATGCACATGGTCCGGGGTTCGAGCCCGCACTGACGCACATCTGATATCTATGGTCGGCCTGCAAAATTTGGGCTACCGATATCCATGCTGAAAATTCCATACTTGTACCGAAAATACAGTGTGGAATCAAGCTGTAAATCAAAAAAAAATCAGTCGACGAAGTTGTGAAGTTACAAAGACTGAGATGGTTAGGACATGTGTTACCTATGCCTAGTCATCTCCTTCCTCGACGGGAAATGTTAGCTGACATAAGGTCAGACTGGAAAAGAGCTGGTGGTCAAACCAAAACGTGGCTTCATCAGTCAATGATATCCACAACAGTTAGTTTGAGCCACGTAGGAAGGTATAGACTGGCCTCCTGGTTGGGGTCTTTGGGACGATAAACACCAATGGCTGCAGACAACTGGTGATACGGCTCAGAATCGTTCTCAATGACTGGCGAAGATGCATCCACTCCTTATGATTTCCAATGAAACTGTTTTGTTCTTCGTTATTACTATTCCTTTGTCTCACACCTCTGTTTACTGTCTCTATTATGCATATCTTCTCTTGCTTTGTGTGCTACAAAGAGGGAGTGTGGCGACTTGAACAGCTGCACATTGATGCTAAGTTCTATGTTGAAAACAGACAGAATCTCGACTGAAAGTTCGCAGTGGTGACGAGTTGACTAGCTATCTGACCAAAGGGAAATTTACTGATGCAATCCGTTGAAAATCAGAGGACGGACATGTTATCACTATAACTGAACAATGAGTGTATTAAATACACTCCGTGAGTAGATAGAATTGTTGAGGAAAAATAGCACGATGGAGTAGAATTGAGTGCAACACCCTAAAACATGCATTCCACTATCTCAGTGGACTTCATTTCCTACTCGTTTGCAGATTATTCATGCTGGCACGTGCCGATAAGCACGGAAACTAGACCCCTTCCAACTACCCAACATGAATTCAAAGTTCTTCACCATGGCGAGTCGCCCAATCCAGTGACCACATTGTACACTTCACTGACAGAATTCTGTTAGTATCAACAGGAAGGGACAGAGACTTAACATTGGTTATACTCTGGTGAATAATCAGTTTACCGCAGCTTTGATGCTTGCCTAAGTGTTTCTTCGAACATAATACACTAGTTCATGCTAATAATGTAGGATGGTAATTCGTCACGTATGTCTAAACCTTTGATTCTGCTTGTTAAGCGTAAAAGGCTATCGAAGCCAGATTCATTTCACTCAGTCATTACATTCTCCTGCTTAAACTGTAAAGCCTAAGTGACATGTCTGATGCACTAAATTACCTTTTGGTGATTCAAGTACATTTTGTAGGATCTAGATATTCATCTGGAAATATGTTGGCGACGCGGTATCTGATTGTCAGGTCCCACTTCGCCTGAAGCTTCACAACTGCACTGCAGTGGGAAGCCGTTGTGTCTAGTACTGATAAAATCGACACCATCATCCTTATCCCCTATTCAGGAACAATCCTTGTAGTTACTCATAGTAAATTTCGTCTTCATGTGTATGTTAAACACTATTCGACGACTATTTGAGAATGCGGTCTAATTAGTTGCCAATCTGTCTAGCCCTATTTGTTGTTCCAAATTTGACTGACGAGTATTCAGATGGTCATTAAGGCACTTTGCGGCGTTATTCGGTACTACTAGGTGCTTAGAGGACACACTGCACTCGACGAAGGTTTTTAATGTCCCGTGACATCCACATCAGCAAAGAGTATTAGCAAAATTTAGCGGAATTCATCTCTCACACCTATTGGCAGTTGGAGGCGCTACCACACATCTAACCAGAAAACAACCAACATAGGTTAATAATCCCAAATATTCTGACTGAATCGTTTCGATTGAGTCCACATCAACAAGAGTTTCGAATTCAGTATGTCCCATCTACTTCGGCCTGGGTAGATGGGTGGTATTGCTGACTATCACATGACAAGTGTGGCTTTTAGCCTAGTTTAGGAAAGATCTGTGCAAGCAGACAGTCACACATCCTTCATGCAGTTTCCTGTCGTCAACTAGTGCATATAAAAATCCATACCTCATATATCTGGTGAGAATAGAAAAGAAATTATCCGCGGATCGCTGCACTAGTAATCTAAAGCGACTGTCCTGAATGCTGCCAGCGAGTCTCCCATTACACCTTCAATCATCACCCATTATGTTGACAGGAGTCTGTCAACCCAAGATTATTATTCTAGTTGAATATAAAACTTCTCAAACTAAATTATCCCAAATATGATATTGTGAAAACCTGTATGACACACATGTATGTAGGAGGAATACATGTTTATCGAATTCGAATCAGATCAATTCACGTTCACACATACAGCTGATTTCATGGCACATGACAAAATCGATATTTTTTTAGAATACTGCCCAAACAATGTGACGAAACTCGAGTATGATTGAGTTTACTTTTTCAATATGTATGTCAACAATGCGTAATTGTTTTCGTAGGCATTTTTCAAAGTGAAACACGCACACTGTATGTGTTGTAAGCGTCTCCTGTAATACTTACACTTCCATGAAAGTGAAAATCTCCGCACCAGACTTTTTATTAAGTCGTTTTAGGGCCATAATTTGATTACTCTCCAAACAAAGTTTCAACAAACCAAGTAGTATGTTATACCAATGATATCCTTCACATTTCTTACTATCCCATTATAGGAACTCACAACGTTACTTACATTCATATAAATCCTACCAAAGCAAACTGATTCAAGTATATTTTTAACTAATTATCCCCGCCCCCCCCCTGCATACAGCCTAATCTCATCCTTAAATTGTGATGTGTAACCCAATCACATGTTACACTAGCTTTTACCTAAACAACTGCTATGCATTGCTGGAGGACACGAAGAACATCGTGAGAGATTTCAAAGTGTTGATGAATTTTTTGTCGAACGACATACTGTCTATTAATATATGTGTAAAACTTAGGCACTGTGGTGGTAGTAATTAATTCCATATGAGTTTGTTTATTAGATGCATCATGCACACACAGTCAGTGAAACAGTATTATTATTTACTGGATGACAATGTTTCGAACAAAATTTATTCATTGTTCATAATCATTTCATCAATTATAATCACACGACTTTGAAACTTGAGTTTTATAGTTTTCTTTGTCTTCTCCTATTTGTCATTGTTGGGGTAGTAGAATTTTCAGATATCTGGGTGGACAGGTGTTGAATCATTCCTATTACATGTATTTGCAATTGATTCGATAAACAAAGCTTATCTTATCAATCCCGCCCTCCACCCTGTGACATTAGATTTTAAAACTGTCATCCTATCCCATTGTATGGTTGTGTGTAATTGCATGTAGTGAGTGCTGTAGCTGAACTATTCTCTAGATTTCTTATCTTATTCGGGTCAACCAATCTAGATTTTGCTGCTAGGTTTTTATGTTCAGCTAGTCTGACTGCCCCTGATCTACTAGTTTGACCTGTCGACCATCTCAGGCAGGGCATTAGATAAACTGAATTGTTTTGTTTTAAAGGCTCCACAGGGTTGATCCTTTAACCGACAAAGCTTGTTTCTAATTGAGTTTGTGGGTGGGTTTGAATGCCGGCCACTCTTATTCCTTTCCTTCCTTGTGTAAGGTGGTTTCCGAGGTTCCTTCTCTGTATGGAATTACTACAGATGATTTAGATTCCCTTATTGTCGGTGTCGTCATTAATATTATTAATATCAATATCGCTACTGTCATTATTTATTTTATTTTTACATTTCCTTACATACTTTCTGACTAATTTATCCGGATAATTATTACGTTTCAAGGCTTCTTTCATGTGTATGACGACTTCCTGTCTTATATTTTCCTTGGTACTACTTAGTTTTTTGTGCGTTCTATCTCCCGTGTGAAGTGGCACAATAAGGTGAACAATATTTAGGTTAGGCGTGAGTCGAGTACTAGGTAAACAGGGGAAATCAATTGACGAAGTTGTGAAGTTACAAAGACTGAGATGGTTAGGACATGTGTTACGTATGCCTAGTCATCGCCTTCCTCAACTGACGGGCAATGTTAGCAGATATAGGGTCAGGTTGGAAAAACGCTAGCGCAGGTCAAACAAAAACATCGTCCCACCAGTCAATGAAATCTACAACAGTTAGTCTAAGACAGCCACGTAGGAAGGTGCAGACTTCCTGACTGACTGGTTGGGGTCCTCGGGACGGTAAAAACCAATCACCGGTTGGAAACAATTGGTGATACGGCTCAAAATCGTTCTCAGTGGCACAATGCATCCACTCCTTATGACTTATAATTTCCAATGAAACTGTTTTGTTCTTCGTTATTACTCTTCCTTTGTCTCACACCTCTGTTTACTGTGCCTGTTATGCTTTTCTTGTGCTTTCTTCTCTTGCTTTGTGTGCTACAAGGAGTGGAGTGTAGCGACTTGAACTGGTGCACATCGGTGCAAAGTTCTGTGTCGAAAACAGACAGACAGTTTTTTGTGCTCTGTCATACTGTCGGTGTCCTTTAAAAAAACAACAGGTGAAAACCCTTCTGTAGATGCAGCAGCTATGATTATTAATTATTATTATTATTATTAGTAGTAGTAGTAGTAATAGTATTATTATTAATATTACATGCTGAAAGAAATTACTACATGTATAAAAAATTAAATGACTGACTGATTTTTCGATATTAAAAATTTTTAATGTTGATAGATAAAACAACAAAGAAGTTGATCTGTTGATCTGTTTCATGAAAGACTGTGGTGAAGGGAAAAAAATGAAAATATTGTACAAAAAGAGGAGAGCAGTACACTTGCTACTTATAATGTATATAGATGATATATTCAGCAGTTAGATTCACTACTACTACCAGGCTCTGAAGTTCGCATAATCACCTTAGCCAACCGCCAAACTGTTGACAATGGACTTGAATGATGTAGTGAATCAAATGATGATGTAACACTATCGGATGTAGCAGCAGAAGTCATAGTAGTAGTGGTGGTAGGCGGAGGAGGAGCAGGAGGATGAGTAGCACCCATTGTATCACTAGCTTCCGATTCCAATGGTGGTGGTGGTGTTAAAGACACTAGTTCCCAGCATTCTAAACTAACCGATGACTTATACTCTTCACAATGTCCACCACCACCACCACCAGTAGTGGTCATTGATGATGAGTGTATACAACAACATTCAGATGTAGAAGGTGTTGTTGTTGAATTCAATGTGTGGGGAGGATGATCAGATTTTTCATTGAATAGCACAGTTGACTCATTACTACTTGATAAACCAAACATTTCATCGACTTCTTCACCTTTTTCAAATGAATTTTGGAAATAACATGAATTGAATCGAACTGGAATTGAATGATTGAAATGATTGAATGATGGAATTGTTCCGAACAATCCATTAAGTTTTATAGTATAACATTCATCAAAGTATCTAAAGAAATAAAAAAAAATTTTTAAAACAATTAGTTCCCTTTTTTGAATTTAGACAATAAAGCAATAAGAAGACGTAATTTGTTTGAATCGTGTGTCGTGTATGTATTTGCGCGCAAACACATTTCGAACAATTTGATCACACTTCACGGAGTTGTCATAGGAATATATATATATGAAATTAGTAGAGAATTTAATTGGTGGATGGTGACTAGCAGTGGAATCCAGATTAACGCGCATTTCGTCCTATTTTGGACTCGTCAACTGGATGCACCTGCATTCCCCGGTGAGTGATAATGATGTTCCCACCAAGGCTCGAGCTAAGTGCCCATAGTTTCAAACGCCCAACCGTTATCCACTAGACCACTTGGGCCACGAGAGCCACTGCCTCTTGTGCATGTTAATTTTATTGAATTTTAGATTTTCCCGTCGATTGATTGGAACTAAGTGCTCGGTCTCAGGTTGACATGTCGGCTTCTTGTGCAGACGAGTCCCAAATAGAACGAAGCGCGCGTCTTATCAAGGAAAGTCTAGTGTGATGACGAATTGTTGCTTTGAACGCACAAAGATGGTTTAAAACTTTCTAATTGCCAGCTAGAGCTTCCACAGACTTTAGGATACGCCCCAAACATGTTTTATAGATAGGTTTAAAAGACGTGTAAACGTCAATTTTATATCCTGTCTCTATAATATGTGTCGCAATAGAGGAGCTAGGTCTCCTGTTCTCACCATTAATGGGTTCTGAAGATTCCATTTGTTTCTGGAGCCATTTAGGAATTTGCTCTGAAGCCAGCCCTTACTTGCTGGCAGAGATCGATGAGTCCTCCCTCCTATGTATGTGTGCCCACACGTACATTCAAATTGGTAAATACACTGGGATGTGACATCATTTTTCGCATGTTCGAAGGGCTTAAATGGGTAGATATTGGCTTTACATTCTCAATTATTATGATCTTAGCTGCATAAAAAGTCTTCTAAACCGCAGCGTTCAATTTATGTCTAGTTGTCAAGCTGCTATGATCACCCGAATAGGGTAGAGTTCAAAAACGATTCATAATCACACTAAACCTTCCTTGGTAAACTTTGCTTTGATACCAACCAGGGTAGATGTAGTATTACATCTGTTATTCGGTTTAGTGGTCTTCATTGTTATTTTGACCTTCGTTATGTCCTTTGGACTTGACCTAAGTCTATTTTCTCACCTCTTAACTCTTTATTAACTTCATATATATATATTCCTATTACAAGTCCGTGAAGTGTGATCCGATTGTTCGAAATGTGTTGCGCGAATACATACATAACACGAGTCAGACGAATTACGTCTTCTTATCGCTTTATCTAAACAACAAATAATAACAGTCTATCACAAAGGGAGACGAGTGCAACTGAAATGAATTACCTTTTGCTACGGTAGGTTGAATTCTCAGATGGTGTGGATAACAATTACGTTGTTTATTTTACTTACAGCTCATTAAAATTAGCATATCATAATGAGAAAGTGGAAATATTATGTAGAATAGTTTACCAATAATTGTAAAGACCAAATACATCTGAGTTAGTATGTACCACTTTGAATGGTGTGAATCCGGGGAGGGGGGTGGTGGGCTCAAAACGTCAGCTTTTATCATCCCATCCCGAGGATATTAGATACAACTTACATCCTTTGATTGGACTCTAGGCAGTAAGTGACTAGTGTTGACTAAGCAAACGCATGAGACACTAGTTACTACTTAGCATCCTATCAAACTCCTACAACCTGAACAGCTCATTGGTAACATCTATGACTCCAGCACTGAGTGAAACGCCTTCAAATCTCACAACGAATGTGAGTTTCCTCAAGATTACAGATGTGTCTTGCTGATGAGTGCCAATAAGCACAAAATCTATCTAGGTGAAAGGCTTCCTGTTGATTGCCTCTAACCATTTAATAACAATCTACATCCATATATCAATATATGTAATAGGCACATACTTTAAATATTAGTGGCAATTCATGTTAACAAATCTAACCTTCTCGCATATTACTATCTTGCGTCTATCCGTCTAAACCACCTTCATCACATGCAGTGCAATAAAACAGATGAATTCTTGAAACCAAGAGTTTTTACTGAACATTGATGGAGGAACTTCCTTCCTAGCACCTGGATCAATAATCCGTGACCTTACGCGGGTTTTTTTCTTTTAGCTCAATTCTATTTCCACTGACATCACTTATCGAAGAAAGCGATAGTTTAGAATGCGTGATACAACCTCGCAACTTCCTAAGTCAATGAAGATTTACAATTCATTAAATAAATCACAGATTAGAGAGAATTAAATAGCTTGTAGGATATAATAGGGATTATCGAAATCTCCACAGTAATAACAATGAGTTTATACACGTCAAGTGTCCATTTGTAAAACTTCACTTAACATCCTAAGCAAAAACTACTACAATTATAGTTTAATTTATGATACTAAATCGTAAGGGTGCGACGGTGGCATAGCGGTTAGGTTGCTCGCCAACCATGCACATGGTCCGGGGTTTGATCCCCGGCCGACGCACTCCTTTACCTCGCTAAGCCAGAAATAATCCTGGTAAGGAGGAAAGGTTGGGCGTGAGGCTAGCAACCCCATCCTGTAAAATAAACACTGCTACAGAAACTTCAAGCGACTAGCTTGAAGCCCTACGATCTACTGGGGGACGTGAAGGAAAAAAACCGTAGGGAGACAACTTTTAAACAGAAAAATATCAGCTATCACACACACACACACATATATATTAACTAAGAACATTGACATTCAATGATCGTGTGTCTTCAACAAGAAATCAACTTATACGGAGAAGGAAGATGATTAATTGATTTAAGTCCATAAAGCAAACACAAGGAGAGATCGACTATAATAAAGGTTTTTATTATAATGAATATCATATACCTAATGCCCAAATTTTTTCAAACCGTTAAAAGTGAACTTGGTTTGGACATATATAACAAGAAGAAATCCTTCAACAGAATCGTTTCGAGTGACTCTGAAGTGAAGAAATTAAAAGTTGTATAAACTCAAGAATGAAGTTATGCAGGTATCTTCCTTGGAATTTATTTAAAGGAAAATATCTTGAATATGTTATTCAGAAGTAATATTAATAGTATTTCTATTCAGGAAAACTAAAAACATCAGTGAAGAAAACTCTGTGTAGCGAGTTCATACTTCTTTTCTCTTGGGCAAATACTCTAACAAATATTATGTAGTAAGTAAAATACTGTTTGATACATGGATACACCCAATAGTAGAATGCTCGCCAACTACCCATGTGGCCCAGGTCCAATTCCCGGCCGACACACTTCTAAATAAAGGGAAGGATGGATGTTAAGCTAGCAATCCACCCCCCTAAAAGAAACATCACCACAGCTATAAAGACTTCAAAGCTCACGCTTGAGACTCTATGTTGCACACTCCAAAAGCCAGGGAATAATGAAATAAAGCACTGTTGAGGTGTACCATCATACTAGTAGGGTATCATGATTGAAATCAATAGATAGAGCGCTTGGTCACTTATAAAATACGAAACTGTAAATCTTAATGTATTCACCAGAAAGTGTAACCATTACAGCATTTATGTATTATTGTTAGCATTATTACAACAAACTGCGTACATTATAAGGCACAAAGAGATGCGTCACACAAAACTGTCTCATAGTTTGTGCAAGGGCTGAATTACTGCTCGGATTTCTAGACACCAAAGCAGATGATTGTATTAAAGAGGTCACACTCTAGAGCCTTCTACTTGAAATAAGTATAAAACTTGGGCACTGTGGTAGAGCATAACCCCATGAAGGATGAGATTTTATTTTGATAAATCATACAGTGTTGTACAGTAATATTAACTGATGACCACGTTTCGAGCACAAATTATTGCCCATAATCATATCAAGTTATAAGTCATCCACTGTTATACCATATAAGGAGGGGACATCTGAGACCCTTACCATGTAGGATTCTAAATAAAGCAGTTATTAGAGTGGCATTTAAACCTACCAACTCACTCAGGGACAAGCTCTGTAGGTTAAAGGACCCAATTAGACAAAATATAATTTACAAAATACCTTACATTGACTGTAAGTCAACTAAATAGGTCAAACTAGTAGATCAGGGGTAGTCAGATTGTCAGAACATAAGAATTAAGCTAAGGGAAGAATGGTTGACCCAGAAAAGATAAGTAGTTTAGAAAAAAGCTCAGCACTTCACACATTAACACACAACCACACAATAGGGTGGCAGATGTAAACAGGGGAAATCAATCGACGAGGCTGTGAAGTTACAAAGACTGAGATGGTTAGGACATGTGTTACGTACGCCTAGTCATCGCCTTCCTCGACTGACGGGCAATGTTAGCAGATATAGGGTCAGGTTGGAAAAACGCTAGCGCAGGTCAAACAAAAACATCGTCCCACCAGTCAATGAAATTTACAACAGTTAGTCTAAGACAGCCACGTAGGAAGGTGTAGACTAGCCTCCTGGTTAGGGTCTTCGGGACGGTAAAAACCAATCACCGGTTGGAAACAATTGGTGATACGGCTCAAAATCGTTCTCAGTGGCACAATGCATCCACTCCTTGTGACTTATGATTTCCAAAGAAACTGTTTTGTTCTTCGTTATTACTCTTCCTTTGTCTCACACCTCTGTTTACTGTCTCTATTATGCATTTCTTGTACTTTCTTCTCTTGCTTGTGTGCTACATGGAGTGTGGCGACTTGAACTGCCGCACATATGTGGAAAGTTCTATGTTGAAAACAGACAGACAGCGTGGCAGAGGGTTGAAATTCTAAAAAATTATCTAGGTAGGTGGAGAGAGGTTGATTACTGAATCCTTGTTCATCGAGTCTACACCCAACACATTCAACAAAAATGACTCAATGAAGACATTATTACCGCCGGTCAAATCAGAGGAGGATAATAAATAATCTTAAAATTCTATTTCAATTCAAAAACATCACAACATTTTAACAAGTTACTTATTATGACGATAAAAACACTCGTCTTATTTCCCATCTAACTGTAATTGATCAATAACACTCGTATTATTATTTCTGAATGTACATTATCTCATATGTATTTTTATCCCAATATCTTATCGATTCCATACATGTATATAAATGAAGGAAAAAAGTTGTGTGAGTAACTTCATATGATTGTGAGCAATAGTTTGTGCTCAAAACGTCATCAGTTAATATTACTGTATAACCACACTGTGTGATTTAGCAAAATAAAACCTTTCACTTGGAGTTTGAGCAGAGTTTCCATGGTTGCTGGTGATCAAAAAAGGTCCACATACTATTCGATCCTTTAGGATTCTCGAAACCAGGTAAACGCCAGAGGTTTGGAATCACGGATTTCCATCTCATCTCCAGATAGAATCAATACGTCCACGAGTTGGGTTATAAGCGACACGCGTTCACATTCGTCTTTTCTATTTGTTAGGAACACTCATCATGCCGAGTGAAGGTGACGAATAAGATAATCTACGCGGCAAAGGCCATATGAATGCGTTTCCAGAAAAAGAACGAAGTCTTCCCACCCCCGACCATAACCAGGTCATTTATCGAGGCCACAGGTTTTATGTAGTAAACAGTGAACATTGTGCATATTGCCCTCGTCAACAGTCATGACGTACACACTTGCTGTGTTGTCCTTTTCTGCTTCAAAATACAACAATTCACTTCGAAATACAGTGGTTACTCTACCAAACTGGAAGAAATAACCTTTGTAACTTTAAACTACTTCCCTTGTGAGGTTTCACAGTAAAAAGCAACTCAGGTTTTTACTAAACACACACACACAATTGTTATAATAAAAATATTATTACCTAGTTGATTTATTATTGCAACTGACCGGATTTCCAAGACAATATAATCCAAATAATGGGTTATAATAGGTATACCGTCCAGGCACCATATTTATTCCCAGTTGTTCAAGCCGACACTTCACGTCAATACCACGGCTTTGGCATAAAAGGTGAACAGCATGTATAACTGCGGAGTATACACGGCCCATATCATCTCTTTGCGGTAGTGCAGACAGAAATGATCCGACTAAATGCAAACTGCGACGAAGAAATAGCGGTAACCAAACATCTAATAAAATAGTTGCAACTCTTATAGCTACAGAGCAGTATGTTAAAGCTGTGTGACTGGAAGGCGTGGGTTCTGGACCTGAAATATATAAACAGTGAGAAAGAAAAATCAATAAAATGTCAAAAGCAATACACAAAAGGTTACTACTGACAATTTATCGTAATTCAGTAAAGTTCTATATGCATTATCATGCTTTTACAAGGAAAATTTGTCAGGAATGCCAAGCTATACCTAGTTTGACATGAGTGATACAAGGGAAGAGTTGTACCACTGATAAGCCAAGTTAATAGCCCATCAAAGTGTTGGATTATGTCAAAGTTAAGTTAACAGTCACTTACATTTCTGTGCATTTGGCAGAGAGCCACAGAGCCCGTGACTGGAAGTTCAGCACCAAGGGTTACAGTAGATGTGAGTCAGCGGAGATCAAGGCATCAATTCATGAAATCTATGACTTTTGTCTGAGCTACATATTGAGGTTTAGACTGCCTACCTGGGATCTGCAAGGCGCTAAGAATCAATGGCTGGAAACTGTTGGTGATATAGCTCAAAATCGTTATCAATGACACATGCATTCACAGTTTACAAACTCCCAAATCCATTAACATTCTCATTATTCCCATATACTTATTCTTTTTCGTCGACACTGCCGTTCATCCTACCTACTCGATTATTTCTTCTATTCCTTCTATACATCTGTGTGTCTATGAAGTGTGGCACTTTTAACTGCTGCACTCTCATGCAAGCAAAGCCTCACGTTGAAAGTCAGTCAGTGAGTCGAACAAAACGCTAGAACTGACTGACAAAGTTTCAACACAGAACCTTGCACAGAAGTGTAGTGGTTTAATTTACCATAATCCAAATGGTACATGAAGGTAAAGAAAAGAAAAATACTCAAAATTATCGTACAATGAATAGAAATTTATGAGGACATTACACGTATGGCTAGTCATCGCCTTCCCCGACGAGAAATGTTAGCTGACATAAGGTCAGGCTGGAAAAGAGTTAGCCAGTGGTGGTCAAACCAAAACATGGCTTTATCAGTCAATGAAATCCACAACAGTTAGTTTAAGCCAGCCACGTAGGAAGGTGTAGACTGGCCTCCTGGTTGGGGTCCTCGGGACGGTAAAAACCAATGCAGGCTGGAGACAACTGGTGATATGGCTCAAACTCATCGTCCTCAATGGTTGGCTCAGATGCATCCACTCCTTGTGACTTATAATCTCCAATGAAACTATATTGTTCTTCGTTATTACTATTCCTTTTGTCTAATGTTCCTGTTTACTGTCTCTATTTTGCATTTCTTCTACTTCGATAGGATCGAATTGCATGCTGAACATTCGAAGATTTCCCTGTAAGATATTCAAAAGGCTGTACATTTTGCCAGGTTCTTCACCTAGGAGTACAATACCGTTTGCATACTCTAAGTCAACAAGACTTCATCCTGGTAACAAGTCAACCCCTAAGTTTCTAGTCGTGTAGGGTCGATTCCATTAGTACATCTATGATGAAAATCAACAAAAATGGAGACAATTGGTATCCTAGACAGATACCAGCGTTTGTCATTACTTCAAATGGTAACTCTTCATAATCTGTTACGCAGTTGCGTAAGTTTGAGTAGAACGCCTTGATTACTGCGATAGGCTTTCTAGACACTCTCTTTGCGGTTGAAGATTGACACAGGCAGTGTAGCTCATTGAGTCATTGCGATATGCAAGCCTGAGCAGCACATCAAGGTAGCAGATAATGGTCAGAAACGTCGGAATTATATATTCCATTTTTAATAAGATTTTCACAAATCTAATTTCCACCTTCGGAATACTGCTTGAAGCTGTGTTTAGGAACTCATTTTAAGCGTCTGTCTGTTTTCGACATAGGACTTTGCAACGATGTGCAGCAGTTCAAGTCGCCACACTTCATGTAGCACACAAACCAATAGAAGAAATACAAAATAGGAACAGTAGACAGGAATATGAGACAAAAGGAGTATTGACGAAGAACAACATAGTTTCATCGGAAATTATAAGTCACAAGGAGTGGATCCATCTTCGCTAGCCATTGAGAAGGATTTTGAGCCATATCACCAGTTGTCTCCAGCCTGCATTGGTTTTTACTGTCCCAAGGACCCCAACCAGAAGGCCAGTCTACACCTTCCTACGTGGCTGGCTGGCTGGCTTAAACTAACTGTTGTGGATTTCATTGACTGATGAAGCCATGTTTTGGTTTGACCACCGCTAGCTGTTTCCCAGTCAGCACTGACTGGGCGAATGAAATACATGTCCTAACCATCTCAGTCGATTTAGCTTCACAGCGTCGTCTATTGATTTCCCCTCCTTACCTAGCACTTGATGCCTAGCCTCAATATTGCTCATCCTATTATACCATTTAACACACACGGGAGATAGGGCGCAGGCACCTATGATCAAAGAAACCCAACCTTTTGATGTCCTCCAATCTCATTGGCCAGGTCTCACACTCATAAAGGAGGATGGAGCGTACTGCTGAGCGGTACGCCCTCCCTTTGGTCAACAACCGGCCGGATATCACGTCTACGCTAGAGACAGCGTCTGTCTGTCTGTTTTCGACATAGAACTTTGCACAAATGTGCGGAAGTTCAAGTCGCCACATTCCGTGTAGCACGCGAAGCAAGAGAAGAAAGTACAAGAAAAGCATAATAGAAACAGTGAGCAGAGGTGTGAGACAAAGGAGTAATAAAGAAATACAAAACAGTTTCATTGAAGATCATAAGTCACAGGGAGTGGATGCATCTGCGCCACTGAGAACGATTTTGAGCCATGTCACCAATTGTTTCCAACCATAGATTTTTACCGTCCCGAGGACCCCAGCCTGGAAGTCTACACCTTCCTACGTGGCTTAGACCAACTGTTGTGGATTTCATTGACTGATGCCAAGTTTTTGTTTGACCGCCGCTAGCTTTTTTCCAGCCTGACCCTATATCCGCTAACATTGCTCGTCGAGGGAGGCGATGGCTTGGCATACGTAACACATGTCCTAACCATCTCAGTCTTTGTAGCTTCACGACTTCGTCGATTGATTTCCCCTGTTTACCTAGAACTCTACGCCTAACCTCCATGTTGCTCACCTTATTATGCCACTTTACACGGGAAATAGAACGCAGGCACCTATGATCAAAGACAGCTAGTCTTTTCATGTCTTCCACTCTCAGTGGCCAGGTCTCACAACCATAAAGGAGGACGGAGCGGACTGATGAGCAGTACACCCGCCCTTTGGTCGATAGTCGAACATCTCGTCTACGCCAGAGTCGGCGTAAACTAACAAATGCGAAACGAGCCCCTTGTATTCGTGCTGAGATTTCGTCAGAGATCAGCCCGTTGGGGCTGATGGTACTTCCCAAATAAGTGAAGCGGTCAACGTGCTCTACCACTTCACTTCCTATTTTTAAACTAGGCGTCGATGTAGTCCAGTCCTGTAACATCATCTTGCATTTGGCGGGAGCGAATCGCATGCCAAACATTCGTAGATTGCGGCTCAAGGTGTTTAGAAGACTCTGCATTTCGTCAGCGTCTTCGCCTAGAAGGACTATATCGTCTGCATATTCCAAGTCAACGAGATTATTCCCGGTAGCAAGTCAATCCCTGAGTCGCTGAAGTCACCTAGGGTTAAGTCCATTAACACATCTATGATGAAGTTGAATAGAAAAGGAGATAATGGGCATCCTTGACGGACACCACTGGTCGTCATCAGTTCAGATGACAGCTCGCCGTAAGCCCTCACCTGGCTGTATGAGTACGAGTAGAGTGCCTTAATCAGTGCAATATATTTTCTTGGAATTCCCTTTACAGCCAAGCATCTCCAGAGAACTTCCCGATCGACAGAGTCGAATGCTGCCTTTAGGTCAAGAAATATAATGACTGTTGGACGCCGGTAGGAATGCCTATGTTCTAGAATCTGTCGGAGGGTGAAGATATGATCAATACACCCTCTTCCTGGTCTAAAGCCTGCCTGGCTCTCTCGTGTTTGTGCTTCCCGAGCACCACTCAGTCTACGCATGATTATTGAGCCTAAGACTTTAGATACTATATTAGTCAAGCTAATCCCTCTGTGATTATCACAGGAAGACTTGTCTCCCTTCTTGTATATGGGGATAATCAGTGACTTACACCAACCCGATGGGACTTCTTCTGATTCCCAGACGCTGCCTAGTACCTCAGTTAATCCGGACAGTAAGCTGTCTCCACCGTACTTAAATACCTCTGGAGTCATTCCATCAGGTCCCGCTGCTTTGCCTAGTTTCAGATTGGTGACAGCTTTAGTAACCTCAGTTAGTGACGGAGGACCTGTGTTTATATCCCATTCAGGGAGGTGTTGGATGCTCGGAAGGTTGAGCGTGGCTGTGGGCAAATTAAACTGCTCCTCATAATGCTCTTTCCAACGATCCAGTCGTCTATCCTGTGAGCTAATTATAGTGCCATTTTTTTCCGAGATTGTCTCACTAATGATTTGTCTTCTCCCACCCGTTTCCCTGATGAGTCCAAAGAGTTGCCTGGTGTTGCCTATCCTCGAAGCTTTCTCCATCTCTTTGGCTTTTGTCGCCCACCACTGTTCACGGTCCTTGCGGAGACTTTTCGTAAGTTTCCTCTTGTGCAGCTTTCGCTCCTCATTGAATTCGGAGCTCGCCGGAATAAGTCTTCTAGCATCTATCAGTTCGGATGAGGCGGTGGAGATCCAGTGGTTTTTACTCACCTTTGGGTTTACCTTATTCACAGCTTTTACAGCTGTATCTATGGCTGCCTGGATATTTTTCCAAGCTTCTTCAGGGTGAGCACAGCTGTCGAACACAGATATGTGTTTAGCTAGTTCTTCCTCAAATACGGATTTAGTTTCCTGATCGAGCTGGGGACGTGATGGTTTTACCGCCAGCTGTTTCCTACGTCCGTTCAGTCGTAAGCACACCCGAGCGCGGACCAGTGCATGGTCGGTATCTACGCACGTGTTCCAGAAGGAGCGACAATCTCCTACCGACCCACGCCAACGATAGCTTATTGCTATGTGGTCTATTTGTGTCCAGCGTTGGTTTGATGAAGGGGGTCTCCAAGTCAAACAGTGTCTCTCCTTGTGTTTAAAGTTAGTGCTTACAAGAAACAAATGATTATCAGAGCAGAACTGTAGGAGACGGTCACCGTTGTCGGTTCGCTGGCACGGAGCTCCATAGGTGCCACCGACATCCTTCTCAGATTGACACAATTTCCCTACTTGAGCGTTAAAGTCACCAGCTAGAACGACTATGTCTGAGCGTTTAGCCTTTCCACCAAACTAGACAGCTTTTGGTAGAACTCATCCTTCGTTTCATCTGAACTGCAGTCAGTGGGGGCGTAGGCGGAGATTACGAAAAGGCATCGGCGAGTAGTGCAGTCCTTCCTCCTTCTTACTGATCCGTTCAGGCGGACAGCACACATTCGGCTATCTACCGGGATCCAGTCAAGCAATGTCTTTTCTGCCCTAGTACTCAAAGCTATCCCTACGCCAGCTAATCCTCGTGAACTAGCTGTGGCATCTCCTGACACCCTCAAGGTGAATTTTGCAGATTCAACCTGTTGGCCAGGTGGGGTTAGGTGAATAACCACACTTGGGTCTTGTATGCGTGTTTCTGAAACACAGCATACATCAATGGCTCGTGATGCCAGGGTCTTGGCTAGTGATGCTTGTTGTCCTATTTGGCAAAGTGTCCTAACATTAAGAGCTCCTATATGAAATTGGTGGCGCGGCTTTAAGAGGCTGTCGGTGGTGGTTTTTTGGCTTCCATCGTTTTTAGTGGACGCAGAGTGGAGAGGAAGTGGAGAGCTATCAAGTCGAGGAGTTGCATCAGTGGAAGGAAGGCAAGATGATAGAGATGAAGATGAAGACAAAGATGAGTGAGTAATAGAGAGGTTTCGTGTGCATTTCGGATTGTGAGGGCGATTGTTACTTCCCGGCTGCCCACACCGTGGAAGTTGGTTGCGTGACCGCAGAGCCCAGGGGACAACTGCTTGAGGCCGGTCACACGCGGCCTGTTTTTGTTCGTTCTTTTTTGTTTGGTGTGTCTCAGTAGCAGATTTATCACTCCTGCCCTGTGACACGGCAGCAGGAAGCGCGGTCGTTGTTAATCCGGGCCACGGCCGATCCGGCATGAAATTTTGTCTGTCTGTCTGTCTGTTTTCGACATAGAACTTTGCACAAATGTGCGGAAGTTCAAGTCGCCACATTCCGTGTAGCACGCGAAGCAAGAGAAGAAAGTACAAGAAAAGCAAATAGAAACAGTGAGCAGAGGTGTGAGACAAAGGAGTAATAAAGAAATACAAAACAGTTTCATTGGAGATCATAAGTCACAGGGAGTGGATGCATCTGCGCCACTGAGAACGATTTTGAGCCATGTCACCAATTGTTTCCAACCATAGATTTTTGCCGTCCCGAGGACCCCAGCCTGGAAGTCTACACCTTCCTACGTGGCTAAGACCAACTGTTGTGGATTTCATTGACTGATGCCAAGTTTTTGTTTGACCGCCGCTAGCTTTTTTCCAGCCTGACCCTATATCCGCTAACATTGCTCGTCGAGGGAGGCGATGGCTTGGCATACGTAACACATGTCCTAACCATCTCAGTCGATGTAGCTTCACGACTTCGTCGATTGATTTCCCCTGTTTACCTAGGACTCTACGCCTAACCTCCATGTTGCTCACCTTATTATGCCACTTTACACGGGATATAGAACGCAGGCACCTATGATCAAAGACAGCTAGTCTTTTCATGTCTTCCACTCTGAGTGGCCAGGTCTCACAACCATAAAGGAGGACGGAGCGGACTGATGAGCAGTACACCCGCCCTTTGGTCGATAGTCGAACATCTCGTCTACGCCAGAGTCGGCGTAAACTAACAAATGCGAAACGAGCCCCTTGTATTCGTGCTGAGATTTCGTCAGAGATCAGCCCGTTGGGGCTGATGGTACTTCCCAAATAAGTGAAGCGGTCAACGTGCTCTACCACTTCACTTCCTATTTCTAAACTAGGAGCCAGCGTAGTCCAGTCCTGTAACATCATCTTGCATTTGGCGGGAGCGAATCGCATGCCAAACATTCGTAGATTGCTGCTCAAGGTGTTCAGAAGACTCTGCGTTTTGTCAGCGTCTTCACCTAGAAGGACTATATCACATATCACCTGCATATCCTAAGTCAACGAGATTAGTCTTTGGTAACAAGTCAATTTCTGAGTCTCTGAAGTTAGTTAGGGTTAAGTCAATCAGCACATTTATGATGAAATTGAATAGAAATTTTGTAATTTTGTATGGGGCATGATGTTGGATTGGGTAGCTGCTTTTTGTTTAACCGCTATCCAAACAACCTGCCTGGCATGGTAGTACCTCAAGAGACATAAGTCTCAGCCAGTATAGCTTGAACAGGTCATTGCGGTGTTCAAGCCCGACCACCACGTCAAGGTAGCAGCTTTCGGTCGAGACAGCGTAGACTGGCATATGCGAAATTAGTCCTCCGTATCAGTGCTGAGATTTCGTCAGAGATCAACCCGTTGGCGTTGGTTGATGCAACTTCCCAAATAAGTGAAGTGGTCAACACGCCCCACCAACCACTTCACTCCCTATTTCTAAGCTAGGAGTCGATGTGGTCCAATCCTGTAACATCATCTTACATCTAATGGGAGCAAATCGCATGCGAGACGTCCGAAGATTGCTGCTCAAGGTGTTCAGAAGACTCTGCGTTTTGTCAGCGTCTTCACCTAGAAGGACTATATCACATATCACCTGCATATCCTAAGTCAACGAGATTAGTCTTTGGTAACAAGTCAATTTCTGAGTCTCTGAAGTTAGTTAGGGTTAAGTCAATCAGCACATTTATGATGAAATTGAATAGAAATGGGGATAGTGAGAATCCCTGACGGACACTACTAGTTGTCACCACTTCAGATGGCAACCCACCGTAAGCTCTCACCTGACTGCATGAGTTCGAGCATTTTATACGTTCCATTTGTAAAGCGATGGAGGCAGATATATGTAAAGTTTTTAACGTTTACTTCCCTACACTTTTGACGAAGTCAAATATTGTTCCCATGTTGTTAATCAAAGAAAAAAGATAACATATTTAAAGGCGTAAAACCAACGTTGTGCTGGTCTTTGGTAGTTTACCTGTAAAAATGTTCTCCTTGTCAATGTGTAGAGGTGAATCGACAAACCGATCCGGAGATAAACCATCCGCCTAAAACATAATAGTAATCGTTTTATGAGACAATTAGATTACTTAAGTGAACTATGCAGTGAAATGAAAATCAAACTTCGTTAAACCACTTTGGATACACAGTGGTATCACAGTTGATATGCTTTCGATAGATCACCCATGAAGTTCTTCACTGTGATGTACAAGAAAGTTGACGTCTATTGGATCAGATCACTAAGATGTTGACAAGAACTGAAAGATAAGTGCAGTGAGGTATGTGTATCTATCTACTCCGTGCCATTTATATGATTTTGCAATCCTCACATGTTTATGTTCAACTTTTGTGTGATTACCATTTTGCTTATTCTATGCTTTCGTGAAACAGTCAAACCAATACGCTTTTTTATGCAAGACTTTACACTGACTTGTCTATTTCTGATTGGTAGACTATCATCCTTTGCAAAAAATGTCACATGGTACCCTCCTTACATGTTAACAATTTTCAAGCTACATCCAGAGTGGAATATTTGGGTTCCCAGACTTCAGCAAGGATTAAAAGGTTTATATTACCACATACTTGAAATAATTTTAAATGGTAACCAGCAGAGGGGGAGTGGACATCCCCTTCGAATCCAAATCCAAGAACACAAATTGGTAGTAAAAAGACATGATATATATACATATATATATTCTTTCGTATCAATGCATCGGTGGCATAACGGTTAGGACGCTCGCTGACCATGCACATGGTCCGGGGTTCGGTCCCCAACCAACGCACTCCTTTACCTCGTCAAGCCAGAAATAATCCTGGTAAAGAGGAAAGGTTGGGCATGAGGCTAGCAACCCCATTCTGTAAAATAAACATTGCTACAGAAACTTTAAGCCACTAGCTTGAAGTCCTATGTTCCACTGGGGAACGTGAAGGGAAAAACAATCAATGCATGTATATAACTATGGACACCATTTTGATTGAAATAATGTATGAATTTCAAAGAGAGGAAACACCAAAAATTCCTGAGGATTCCTAGAAGCCTAGTGCTCAAGTGAATTAGCAATTAACAAACACACTAGACCAAATTTACCAGCTAATAAAAAGTAAATCACATGGAAAGAAAGTTCGAACTTCAGGTGAATAAAAATCATCAATTGAGATGTAAATTAACAATCAGCTACGAAAGTGGTCGACAGGAGATATATTACACCATTCAAAAAGAATTTAAATGAGTTCATTGTATACTAAAACCTATACTGAAGAAGTTGTCTAGAAGAGGGGACGACGAAAGCTTCTCGATTAAATCAACCACCTCAGCGTACACAACTAATTCAATATCATCCACTTGAGCTACAAGTCTTCTCTATTGTTTCCTAATCTGTATTTGCTAAACTATACATATGTTGGACAGGCAACATTTTCAATAAAACTATGAAATACTCAAATGCCTGTACTATCTTATCAAGTAGTTGTGATTGGAACCACTACATACAGGAGAATATTCAGGTGAGATTAGTTCTTACCAAGAGAATCAAAATAAGACATACGAGCAAACAATATTGTTTTCAACTAGAACTTCATTGGCTAAAAATTTCATAAACAATTTGATCCATACATGTTACAGTAAAGCCTGAAGTAGAGCTAACCGAAAAGTTTTATTGATCTTAGCAAGGCATTCGACAAAGTATCCCACTTAGGTCTCCCTAGTAAACTTAAAGGTTTCGTACTAGACCAATGCCCTTGTGAGTGGTTTAGGGATTACCTAATGGATAGAAGGCAGAAGGTTAGAGTTAACGGTGTACTATCAGGGTGGAAAGCAGTATCCAGTGGAGTGCCCCAGGGAACTGTATTAGGCCCCTTGCTATTCCTACTATACGTTAATGAACTACCGGGATTCTTACTTCATCTTCACTACTATATGCAGACGACATTAAGATATGGAAAACTGTAAATGATAACGAGGATAGGTCGGCCCTACAAAATGATTTAGATAAATTAGCTGAGTGGTCGAGCCTGTGGAGTTTGGAAATGAACTCTGGGAAAAGCGCGGTAATGCACCTAGGTCAGAAGTCTTATACGTCGTACTCCCTAGGGGACACAGAACTACCTGATGTTAACGAGCAGAAGGACCTAGGAATCATTGTCAGCAATGATTTGAAAACAACTGCAAATCCCAATGCAGCCGCAGCTAAGGTTTTTCGAACGCTATAGGCACTTCAAAGGGCTTTCAAACGATTAGACGATGGCATGTTGCAAATACTCAACGCAACATATGTCAGGCCTCATCCAGAATACTGCATAGAAGCGGTGGGTTCATGCTTCAAAAAGGAGGTACATATCCTGGAAAAAGTACAGAGACTAGGAACAAAATTAGTTAGTGGTATCTCACACCTTCCTTATGATAAGAGGATGGAGCATTTAAATCTCTTCCTGTTATCATACCGAAGGAAGAGAGGCGACTTAATTTTAGCATACCGTATACTTAAGGGTGATTTAGAAACTGACCTTTCTAACCTTTTCTCCCCTTCTAGGATACATCTACCGGGTCACCGCAAAAAGGTGCTCAAACCAAGGACGATTAAAATACGTGCAGAATTTAGATTCTCTCATAGATTGGTCAACGACTGGAACTCCCTACCTGATTTAGTAGTATCAGCTCCATCGGTGAACGCTTTCAAAGAGAAGTTAGGTCTCTGCAGAGATATATTTTGCAAGGATTGACACAGGCTACAACAGCCTTCTATCCTTATCATCTGAATCTGAAACATATCTTGTTCACCATATAGGTGAAGATTGGAGACTGTGGATAAAACTCTTACAGTTTAATTTTTTTTATGTCATTTTACTACGAATGACTCGCCGCCAGAATGAATATAGTCACTTTCACTTATCAATATAATATACATGCAGTTCCTACCAAGAATTTTGTTGAAAACTATTGTTTAATAAGTTATCAACCTTAAGTTTAAAACATCAAACTAGATTAAGTCATGTCATTAAACAACAATGTCAAAGAGTAACAAAATACACGATAATGTAACTAATGTACATTAACGATCAGAAGCCAAGGAGGGACTATACCACTGTGTAGTAGTGGTTTTTCTATCAAGTCTTTAACCCATGGAATCCTCTCCCAGAATTTCAGCCAGTTCTTCATGAATGGATTGGACAGGCATACATACTTAATAGATAGGAGCTGAAGTAAGCTTGAAACCTGTTTTAGCCAGAAACCAATCGAAAAATGACAAAGTGATTCTCAGATATGGCAACAACAGTAGCTGTCTTAATTATAAATACAGAAAAACATAAGACATGCTTACAGATAGCTCGGTGACAAAATATACTCCAAGTAGTTCTGTAAAATACTTATCATGAATTTGCTTGATCTCCTGATTGATAAAATCAAGGTCGACCACCAGTATTTTCTTCCTCTGTGCAACAGTAACAAAGTGCCTGACTAAACTGGCTTGCTGCTTCGATAGCTGTTGGGATGCAGTGTAACAACGTGTCATAGACTGCCGAATACGATGTACCCGCCTCCGTTCTACATTAATGTGAAGCAATTTTAGTGAAACTTACTTTCCATGTTTGATTCACTGAAATACTTGATAGTATGTTCAAGAGACGCAATGTGGGCATTCAACTCCTCAGTTCTGGTCTGCTACAATAAAAGTTATTGCGAGTTAAAACCTTACAAGAGTATGGGAGATAAGCTTAAACAGTGCAGGCTCATGCGCTTTAATTCTGATCCAAAAATAGGTGAAATATAAATATAGTAACTTACTTCCTATTCAAGTTATCTATTAATCTCCGAACAGTTACGATCCGGTCTGAATTTTGACGAAATCTAGGAAGGTTATATTATGGAAAATGAGCTTGCCTAACTTTTCCGGACTTTATGGAAAAAATTGAGTCATTCTTAACACATGAAGGGCAAACAAATGCCACTTTGAAGGATTCACACGTAGGACATTGTAGGTTTACATGGAACTGAGGGCCACGGTAAGACTGAGCATCAGTGTGTGGTGCTTCAAGTATTTGGAAATCTGCCAGAGTGACATCTGACTCTTCGAACATGTATTACATCGAGAAACTCCTTTCAGAAACGTATTCAAAATTGGCGCAACAACATCGATAACGAATAACCTTTCAGCGACCTAATTTACCTGATTCACCTGAGCTCAATCCCCGGTGGTGTCATTACTCGCCTGGCTACTGAATGCACCAGAAAACATTCTGAGGGAAATGGTTGCATGAGAAGTTGGTCATATCTGAATCGTACTGTCTGAATTTATTCAGTGGCATATTATGATCGTTAATGGTCCTTTCACCCATTAGTCGTTTGGTGTGGTAGAAAAGAATGATATAATACCATATTAACAATTGTCAGTGCATAAGAAAAAATCAATTTGGCAAGCTGCTACACCCATCCGGAGCGCCAAATGAAAAAAATGAGTAAACAGAAGTGATACTGTGAAAGTCCTGTGTCAAAGACGAGTTTAGTGGAAAATCCAAATGATTTTATTATTTTTGATTACAGCTTGATTCCATTCCATATTTTTTGGTACAGGTATGGAACTTTCAGCATGAATATCAGCAACCCAAATTTCGCAGGCCGACCATAGATATCAGATGTGCGTCGGCAGGGTATCAAACCTCGAACCATGCGCATGGTCGGCGAGAGTCCTAACCACTGTGCCACCAACGCGTGTAGAGTCCTCAAAAATAAACTTATCCAAATTTTATAACTATGGAAGAAATGAACATATTGTACATTACTTTGTTTTGATAATAATCTCTGTACTTTGTCTTTTACCTCGGGTTTTGAATGAAAATATAGTTCTGCATTCGACTCTCCGTCTTCTCCACCATCTCAACTGCCGTCGATCAATTCTAACTACCTGCATTCTATCTCAAATTTTTTTCAGGAGCACCGTAGTTTCTTCCTACGTACTTTGGTCGACCTCCGGCAACATCAACATTGGAGAATTAGTATTGGAGCAGTCTTCCCGCAATACCTCTGGAGTCTATTACGTTTGTTGAGTACGTAACAATGTGATTGTACACTTTTTGGTTATTTGTATAAATTCGAGATATTGTACATAATTTTTGTTTAAAACGCTTCTTGTTGAAATATACATTACTTCCGTGTACAACTGAAAAATACACTCTGCTGTTGGAGACTTCGTCTTCTCCCTGGTCACTTCTGCTTACTTGCTCCACTCACACCGTGTTGTATACTTCGGATTTATTGTAGGAGCCTACTACTCTCAACCGAAGACATTTCTACAACCGGAACACAGCAGCTACAGCAGACGCAGTCCAAACAGTTAACGTGCCTGTGGATTATATAATTAATTTGTAGCCGAGGACTCATACTTTATAACCAAGTAATCCTTTTTGTTGCTATAACTCGTCACTGTATTTTTGGTAATATATTGTGATTTAACACTCCACTGACTTGGATTATTACTTTTATATTTGGAATGTTAGTGAACTCTAATATTAGTCCCCTACACGTTAATTGTGGATTTTGGACCTTTTAAATACCCAAATAACAAAACTTTAATACATCCTTCCAGTAACTTAACTGATTTGGTATTTTATTTTCTATTTGAATTTGGGATACTAAGCTAACAGAGTCTAAGGTCCACCACACGCACATGCTGATATCATAAAAATGCGAGCACCTAAATGCGGTCGGGCTGTGTCAAGTGCCCAGATGTAAATAGCCAGTATATTCTTTGTAAACAAATATTCTTTGTGTCGAAATCGCAGGATAGACATTGGAAGTTACATGTAAAATGGATACTTTGTGCACTGTTTTGGTATCGGGCATGTACTCTACGAATCATTTAGTGCATTTATCTTCTTTCTGTTACGGAATAGTTTCGATTTGCGTGGAAAGCAGTACAGATATCCGCGTCCTCGCCGACTATAGCTGTGGTGAATACAATTGGAATTCGTTCGTCAGAATATTTTGCATGGCTTATGGTTTGTCTCAAATTTACCATGTGGATGCTAGTGTCAGCAGCTATCTAAGTAAAAATAAAATGAATCACGAAAGCACGACCCTCAATTCACGTAATTATCTAATTACTTATGGAAGGTGACGAATGTATACAGCCGCAGTTGGGTGATTTTTGTAAGTAATGTTTTCTGATCATCTCCAGAGCCAAATTTGAAATAAACTGTTACCAGATAATCTCTCAAAATGTAGGTTGTTTGACGGGATGCCACGTCTACTACACACGGTTCATTTCCGTATAACTCGGCTCTCTCATCACTGTGCCTCGTAGGCTTCCGCTTCCTCCGCTTCTAGGAAACTAATTAGTTACGCTGACTGAAGGATCCCAGCTCGCTTCCGATCGACCTCAACTGGGAGTAACTCCTTTGATTGTTGATTGAGTGTTCATACAACTAGACCTGTTCCTTGGTCACACTATCAACTGACTCTTCGAACTGATCCATCTAGCCCGGTGGACACGCTGCTCTTAACGCCGCTCCAGCCAGTCAAGGGAAGATATAACACGTAAAACTATTCAAGGAATAAAGAATTAGGCGATACACAACCATACAACGACGGCACAACCTTGCTATCTTCTATTTTAACAATCCAATCGTTCGCAATCTGATTTAGTTAGCATAGGTGGAGAAATTTACTGCTGAAGCCCACTGGCAGAAAGTATATCAATGCGACGGATTCCTCTGACTCCTGTACTACGACAAATGCGAAGCTGAACTCAGGTACATTGTTTCCACTGAGGACTAGAGGTGGAAGATTTCACATGTTGTCAGCACTCTTGCAGTAACGATAGGAGTTCTGAGAATCATAACTTGTTCCGCTCTTGACACGCAGCGATGCAACGGGGGAACTGGATTTACCTATTTGACCGGTGCGGAGTTGAAGTCGCGGACTAAAGAGCCGTGACATACCGTTCATGGGCCCATTGTCTATGTATGGAAATCATCTGCCTTGGAATCGAAACAAAAGTAGGTGGTGTACATCAGCTGACTGAACGGGTTACGATCTAGTACGAAACCCAGTCGCCGCGAACCACACTCAGTATACAAAATTGCACGAAACATATATTTGAGCGTCCTGCTACACAAACAACGCACCCATACTAAAGAACAGTATCAAACAAAAATCGTTGCGTGAATTTACTCAACAGAGATTAAGTAAACATTATAATCGCGTCAACTGTATCTGCGTGAGCCAAATAGGTTGTCAACCAAACGGCGCAACTAATAATAATAATTTGCTTTGTTCCAAAACATCACTTCTGATACAGAATGGAGTTCTAAGCATTTTATTACAGTGTTGCATCCAGTTAGTACATTAACAATAAATAAAATTCTACGGAGATCAAGGGTAATCTCAGTTAGTTTTGACAGCAACATATTGGCATGTTGGTAGCAAAGCCAAAATTAGAAAAGTTGATGCTAGCGTATTTACTGGGGTAAGCGGTAACAAAAAGGTCGAGATATACAGAGCGTGAAATAACGAAGCTGGATGTTTTAATAGAGTTAGTAAGGAAGAAGGAAACAAAGCAGCACATAACAGAAAAAAGAAAAAAGGAAAAGAAAGAAAATGTTGTACCTATGAGTTGGAAAGACGAGATGAAGTTGTTCTACTGACTACATGCAAAAACAGTATGCGCTTGTCAATGTAGTTGAAGATTGAACAATCAATTCATGATTGTTCGCTCAAAACCAACTTCCCCAATTTTCGCGGAGGCATCAATACACCAGTCATCGTCTCATCGGTCGCTGTTCAGAAAGAAGAGTATAAAAACCGTCAGAAGTAATATTGCGATTTATTATTGTAATATTTGTTCATAGACCTTAGTTGTAAAGCTCAGTTGTAAAGTTGGCTATATGTTGGTGTTACAATAAAGAATTCTCGAGTCGCTAATCGGTGTTTTGGTTTTTGCGTCCGTTAGTACTAAGCGTTTCTGATAAACTTCAAGGAACAGCGTGAGGCCCAGCGTAGCAAGGGCTGGGCATTAACGGTTTACGAGACGTGGCTGACAGCGCTATTTCAAAGGACGACACTGTCCACGACAGGGGAACAAAATTCACGTAAGGGCCCTACGCATAACTTGTAAAGCATAGTTTTGGATTCGCACATCTTAAAGTTTCGGAATAAAAACCCATGTAGCCTTTTGACTTTTGATACCTGTAATTTAACACATTCTGTGCGACTAAATTCTGGGGTGTATTTTAAACCCAAATCTGGTGTAAGCCGCAGACGAGGAATATGTTTATTGTGTAGGTAGATAGAAAGTTCAAATGAAATGTTTTCGCAGAACAACACACCATATTTTTCAACGTTAAACTTCATTTTCTACCTATTACACCATTGTTGGACGCTACCAATATCATCATGAATCCTATCAGATACACATGATAGGTCATTTCTGAGTGAATGATACACTACTTTGATGTCATCAGCGAAAAGAAAAGGTCTGCTGTGTTTAGCAACGTCGCAAATGTCGCTAAAATATAACGGGAATAACAGTGGACATAGGACACTACCTTGTATAACTCCACTTGTTATCCAAATAGGGTTGGATGTGTGGGGACCTAACCTGACCATTTGCACTCGATAGCTTAAAAATGAGCTAAGCCAGTCTAACAATGAAATTTGGATACGATAGGACTGAACTTTTGATATTAACAGTCGTTGGCTCACAGCGCCAAAGGCTTTACTAAGATCTAACTAGGCCATAACCGTGAACATACTGGAGTCATTAAGTTGTGAGATGTGGTCAAAAAAAATGTAAATGGCATGCCGTGCAAGAGGGTGACTTTATGAAACCATGTTGATAGGGAGTGACAAGTTTCCCTTGAGAGAGGAAGACGAAAGTGGCATTTTTCACAATCGTTTCCAGAACCCTTGAAATAATGGAAGTCAGGTTATTAGGTATGTAACTCATGACGCTTGAACGGGAGCCTGATGTGTACCTAAGGGTAATGTGCGTGGGTTTTCATGCAGTTGGATATGTCCCAGTTGATAGACAGGTGCGGAACGCCTTACGAAAAAGGAAGGGAATGTCCTCACCACCGTATTTTTTTAAAAAATGAGCAGATTTTACCAGGAACAGGGTTGTTTGAACTTTTAAGGGAAGCGATTGCTTTCTTAATATTATCTAAGGAAAAGATGATAACTTTTTTACATGAACTTTGGGGGAATAA